CGTTTGTCTGCTAATCGATGCAACTGCTGGTACTTAGCGACACAGACTGGACTGTTCTGCTTGGCGCCGAGAAGGTGCACGAAGCAGAACAGTGCGGAGGGAGGAACCGTCAGCTATGGTCGCTTGCTCGCCGTGCCGGCGGCGCACGATGTGGAGTGAACAGCGCAGTGGACGAGAGAGAGAGACGTCCAAAAGCGCACCCTCTCCCCTATATAGCTCGCGACGACGTCCTCTGGTACCCGCGCAGAGGGTGTGTCTACCCATCACAGGAACGTCGCCTGGCGTTGAAAACCCACCGCCACCGCACCATAGCTGCCGCCTACTCCGGCTGAAAGGCGGGGGCACGCCCCTTTCAAGAACCCTTTCAGATCTTCGACAAGCCGCGCATTCTCGTCGTACTCTTGGCGCCCCTCGTCTTGCTGCTTGCCCGCCTCCCAATTTGGCGCCAAACTGGCACCCCCCCCCCCGCGGCGGGAGACTCCTCTCGATCTTCTTCATGCGGAAATTTTTGCTTGGTCTGTTTTCTTTTCTGTCTTGCTTTACTTTCAAGAAAAGCGAAAATAATCACCTGTCCACCTCGGCATGCTTTGGTGCAAGGAAATGGCGCCGACTTCTTGGCTCCCTCGATCGTTGAAAACCCATGAATACGACCTCGCTCCACTACTCTCCGCATTCCCGAAAGACAGAAATATGGCGGCGAATCTGATTCATTCTCATTCGCACATTTGGCTAAGATCAAAGTGTAGTATCTGTCCACCTCGACATCCTTTGGCGTAAGGAAATGGCGCCGACTTCTTGGCTCTCACGCTCGTTGAAAACCCATCATGAATGAATGCCGGCTCGCTCCACTACTCTCCACATTCACCAAAGACAGATAGTATGGAGGTGTATCTTCCCATGTCCTAGGCGAAGATTCATTCTCATTTTACACATATGGCGGTGTACTATCTATCTCGATCAGTCCGCCTGACCGACGACCACAGACCGTCGACCACAGCAAGTCATCATGGCTCAACCGTCGGCCGCGGCGAGTAGCCTTCTGCCTTTCTCTTTTTTTCCTCAGACAGAGGAGTACCACGGTCTTGGCGCCATAACCCTCTTCTTTCTACGTAGGTCAACGATGACCAGACCTTGTTTCCCCCTTTTGGGTAAACTACGCGGGAGTCACAAAAAGAGTTTGCAAAACACACTTGGGGCAATGTTCAGAAGCAGCTTTACAGCTCAGTCTCGTAAATGGGATGCCTGCGCAGCAAACCTTTTCTCATATATGAGACTTACCCTGCTGATGCTGGCCTGGAGAATGCTTTGTTCTCATGAAAGAGAGTTTAAGAGACAAGTGTTTCTTCGGCTATCTACAAGCGAGGGAGGTGGCTATTGCAACAATCACAAACCATATTCAAGTAGCCTGGAAGCAACTTAAAAAGGACCTCACAGACGCGAAAGACCACTGTCAATGAGAGGCAACAGCATAAAGATATGTTTCAGTCCATATGGCTGGACAAAAACAGGAAGCTGGGCACGCTGGACGATCAGGAACTTACTCTGGCATAGGTGGGTGGCAGAGGAACCAACATGGGAGCGACTCCCTCGATCTCACTTCAGTATCCCCTACCAAGAACAGAACTTTATCCTGGTCCCCCCCCACCCCGTACCTCCACCCATGCTCCCCCCCCCTCTCCTTAAACCATTGCACTGTCACTCTCCCTATCCTGTCTCCTGTTAGCCCCTCCTCCCCGATGAGTCAGACCCCATCCAGTCAATTGGGAGGACCTCAGCAGAGAATAACGGCGAGCGAACATCGAGTCACCATGGAGTAGGAAGACATAACATTGTGCCAGTTCTCGGCCCAGATGACGATCCATTATTCTACGGTTCAGAAGCCTCATGCAGGGATCACCGGCCTGCAGCGTCAGCAACCTTGGTGGCAACCACGGGCAGCGGTGGTTGGATTTTCAGTTCTCGTTTCCGTATCTTTAGCAACCGTCGATCCCTACCCATCCAAGATCTGCGCTCATCTGGTCATGAGGGGCAATTGTGCAAATAGGGAATTGTGAAACTCACCCAGGTTGGAGTACGGCTTCGCTGGCCCTCCCGGTCCCGCTGCTCTGGCCAGCGACTGTATAAGTCACAGGCGCCTGCCCAGCCACAATGGCTTGAGTGATCTCCCGTGCTGCGCCTTCCAGGCCTCGGCTGGCCGCGGCATTCATCGTGAATGCGTACCTGCGTGCACGCCACACAGGAGTCAGGTTCCCCTGAGGTCGAGTCTTTCTCCTCGCCTCAAGGATTACTTTTACCTCTTCGGAATCCCTGCCTATCACATTCGTTCCACTCCTGTGCCTACGCCCCGTCCTAATTCATTACTCTCACTGTGGAAATTTTGTCGCCTGTCTACGTCCGGTAAGACTCCAGTCAAGGTCACCGTCAACTGGTCGCGTCATCAGAGCATCGCTGTCAACCCGCCGCCAGTCATCCCAGGAGCCTCGGTCCTGTCAGTCGCCTTCGTCAGCTGCCAGTCACCCCAGGAGCCCCGGTCCCTGTCAGTCGTCTTCGTCGCAGTCATTCCCAGTCAGTTTTTTGTCCACCGGTCCCATTGTTCCCGGTAAGCCAAGTCGTCTGTCGCTTATAACTTCTAATCATGGACCCGTCTGCGTGCTGGATTGCCCACCCTCCCCCCCCTGTCAACCAACCTCCAAACCAATAACCGCAACCCCGTTCCGCATCTTCGTCATTCCATTCCCAACCATCCACCTCCTCCCCACTATTCGACCCTTTCTTCTCTTCTTTTTTCCGTCCAACCTCACTATATAGTCTCACGAGGAGACACCTACAGATAAGCTCCTCTCTTTCTTCTTGTGTCTCATCTCTCCCTCCACCTCATCTCTCTTCCCACCACCAACCGCTGCTAGTGAGGATATCAAGAGGATTTTCGTCCTCGATCCACCGACTGCCTCGCTACTCCCGCTTCACCTTCCCTTTTCACCTTTCATATTGCCCTATTCTGCTTTATTTCTCCAGCACAGTTCGGTAGAAGGCTCATTCGACTCCACCTTAGTCGTATCGAACCTGCTGGAATTCGCGGAGCATGCGGCATGTTTCATTTTGAAGGACGGCGCGCATTATTGTTTTTTCCTTTATAGAGAACAGGCAGCCCAGCTCCTTTCCCACTCCCTCTTCTCCAACGTGGTCCTCTCCCTTATCACCTTCAACACTCACGCTCTCAACTCGCTAACGGATCTGGAGCGGAGCCAGGTAAGCGAAGAGCTCGTCGTCTTCAAGGAGAGGAATGCTCACAATCTGCGCATTCCCTTTTACAGCTTTGCCATGTGCATTGCTTCTCTCAAGGACACCCCCTCGAAGTTTTGAGCGAACAGCGGATTGCTAAGCCTCGTCGAAAACCTTCCATCTATCGGAAGGTTGCCTGGCTTCGCCGCCCCCATTGCCTTCTTCTTTCAAGGTTTTCTCCAGCATATAAGCAAGGCGGATTTGTCACACCTTCTTCTTCAGCAGCTTCTCAGGCAGGGACCAGGACCGTGGCTTTAGCAGATCATCCAACAGGCCTGCGGGACTCAGGTCAGGTATAAGATAGCACCAGACTTCCCAAGGGACGCTCTCTTTTCGGCACAACCATCTGTCCCTACACTCCTAATCAAGCAGGCGGACGCCACTCACTCCTTCTCCTTCATCAGCCAATCCGGACAAGATGCCGCAGAAGAGGAAGCAGGAGGACCTCCCTCCTAGAAGGAGATCCCACAGACGATCGTCCGATTATATTTCGGACTCGGACTCGCCACCTGCCAACCGGTCGACAATGTTTCAGCAGTTCTTGCTCGTACCACAGCAGCAGTTACCGTCAGTCAGGAGCCCTGCACCCAGTCCAGTCACTACCACAGTCCCTAAGCCTGTTAGACAGCGTAGAAGTCCTAGAATCTTTAGACCACTGGACGACTTCTTCCTTCTCTGTATTATTATCCTCTTTCTCTTGATATTTCTGATTCTTTTTCTCCTCTCAAGCAACCCGCACCATCCTTCTCTCGAGATCCTTGGTAGAAGCTACCCTGGTACCTAGATCAGGCCCTCAGTGTTTCCGATTTTCTTTCTGTGCCTAATCAGTCGTGCTTCCACCTCTACTGTGACATCTAAGATGTTTTGCTACATATTTCATGATTGTTTTCCATAAGTTTTCCATAAAAAATAAATAAAAAATAAAAAAAAAAGAAAGGAAGAGTAGAAACAACAACG